ACAATGAAATTCTTGTCTGGTCACTTATCTTTCAATTTCTTTTCAATTTTTGGTGGGTCAACCAATTACATTTTTAATTATTCCCACAAAACAAAATTACCCCCCAAAAAGTGATTTTTCCGAAGTCCGATTGCAGCCATTTTCCAAGTGGCAACCCTCAACTTTCTCGGGCACTTAGGACCATTTTTCAACCGTAGTTTTTAGCCCTTCTGCTCTCATATGAAAGCTCAAAGACCCAGAAAGTTGATCCTCGCAACGATTTACACAGTCTCTCCATTTTGGGGGCCAAACAATCTCCTTTTTCCAAAGATACTGTGGGGGGGGGGCACTTTTAATGCTAATGAGCTGGTCAGAAATTCTCACTTGAATTAGTGGTCTGCACCCTGAAAGAGCCCTCGTTGCTAAGAAGCTTGCGCCCTCTCTTGGTGCAGCTCGAGGCTCGTACATACAGATTACAAAATTTTCGCGAAAAATCGACGAGTCCATCATCAGTAACATATCCTTCGAAATTTGCCGATTCTATTGTTATGAACCTTGTGCATGTATTATGATGGATCCGAACAATGACGGATAAAGGATTGGGACCTAAAAATTTCCATGTAACGAGCAGATTGTTGTATCAACAGATCCCCTATTAACGAGGTTTGACTGTCCGTGATTATCATCAGACTATTGAGACTAACGTACAAAAATTACATCTCAGCGTGAAACAACTTTTTTAAAGTTCTGTTAAGAGTTCTTTATTTCATACAACTTTCCCGGGCAACAACGAAGTTGAAGTGTGTTTGAATTAAGTATGATTAACTGTTTTCACAAATCACGAACCACCAAAGAAATGTAACTGCTCAATTAAAATGAATGCATTCTGCATATTGTAAAATAACGTCTCGTTTTCCACAAGAGAAATGGAAAGGCCAATACAATGATTAGTTACGCATACAAAATGTTTTACACTTTAGAAAATGTCAAGTGCACCACAGGATTTTCAGGATAGTCCATCACAGCCCGCCCAACTCAATACAAAAATGTCTCGTTCAAACGTGTTCAAAAATCTGCAGTACATGTGCGACACAACACTTCTTCAGCACTTCACAAGTATTTTTTAAGACGAGTGCTTTTATCACACCAGAAAAGGAAAATTCAACTTAAAATGCATTTGTATCTGAAGCTTCACGGAATACATGTGCACTTCATTTATATCAAGATTATCACTGGTGAATCCACAGGGTTTCAAGTCACACTTCTTGCCGACAAAAACATTAACAGTAACCCTTTTCAACTCCCTTAATGACAGTTATGCTCCCCCTTTGAGCAATACACATACTTCGGCCACCTTCTTATAATGGCTGCTAACTCTTTCATGATTTCACCCAATGGCTTCTACAAGTTGGAGAAAAGACAAAAAAGACTAAAATGTTGGGGATTAAAAAAAAAGAGAGAGAACAAGTTAAATTCTGTTTTGGAGCAGTAAAATATTAACATCAAAAATCTGTTAACCCCCCTTGCCCTACATGTTAGCAAGTAATTCATAAGAATCCGTTTATCTTCTGAGATATAACAGCAACAACATTTTCTGTTACATTGTTTTCCAATAGCTTAAACATCAAATCTTCTCATTAATACAACTTCATCACTTGATTAATGGTTAAAAAATTCTTTTTCTCTTAACCTACAAATGAATAAACATGCTTAAACCTGGGCAACAAGTCCAAAAATCTGAACTTCTGTTTTATAGTTGACAAGCAACACTACCCTACAACACTGTACACTGATTTCACACTAAAAAAAAAATGTAAACAGGTGGTCCATTGTGCTTCGTCTCGAACAATAAAAAGTGTCAAAGATATTTCTACCACCACAGGAATGTTTCCATCCTGAGAAATCATAAGACTAGGTTCATGGACGCATCTATGATTCAGTGGTGATTTAATAATGTGAGAGTTACATGTACAACCACGCAATCTGCAGAGAATTCTAGCAACAAAACTTATATAAAAACATACTAAGACTGGTTATTTAAAACACGTAAAACAGCCTTGTCGCTTGTTTTGGAAATTTTTTTTAGTAGCGACGCACACCGAACCGGCCATCACTCTGCGAGGACCGATGACGATCCATAGACCCACCACCACTAGAGCCTCCCACACTCATTTGACTTCCCATGTAAGAGCTCCCGCCTCCACCCCCAAGTGGCACCTGTTGCATCATGCCAACACCACCCCCGAGACCACCACTGACGCTCCCACCGCTGATGAACGGACCCGACATGGATGGGGTGTTGAGCAGCGAACTGATTGGCTGGCTCTGGTTCATCAGGGAGGAGATATGAGAGGAGCCCTGCATTACCAGAGAGCCAGAGCCCCGATTCATGGGGGCATCCATGTTGCCGCCAGCCCAGTTGGCATCTTGGATGGGGGGCGAGCCTAACAGACTGCCGCGCTGAGGATGATCATCGCGGCCCCCCGAACGACCATCACCACCCCAACTACCACTGCCTTGACCACGCTCATAATTTTGTGAGCGGCCATCACGGTCATAGGAGCGATCCCCACCACCACGCTGGTTGGACTTCCAATCTGACGACCGGCTGCCCGGGCCCGACATGCTAGAATCACGACCTCCCTTCCAGTTATCGCGGGAATCCCCTCCGTGAGATCCTCCCATTCTTGACGGGCCCTGATGAGAGGAGTCGCGAGACCTGTCCCCTCTGTCTGCATCCCTGTCTCGATCCCTGTGACCATCACGGGCACTGCTGGGGTGGCCACTATCTCTGCCCCCATAGGAGGGTGCATTCCCACCCCTGGACTGCCCCTGCCCCCCTTGGTAGCGGTTGCCTTGGTTTTGAGGCGGTCCTCGGCGGTCCTCTCTCATGTTGCCATCCCCTCGTGAATCTCTTCTGGGCTCACCTCTGGGGGCTTGTCTCTGAGATGTGTCCATTCTCCGATCGGGCTGATCACGATGTTTCACCCCTTCTTCTCGTCGGAAGTTGCCAGATCCCCGCTTGGGGCCTTCATCCCGCCGTTGATGCTGAGAGGGAGGGGGTTCATCACGACGCTGGGGTGGACCACCGCGACGAGGCTGGTCATCTCGTCTCATTGGCTCATTCCTGTTTTGGGGTCGCTGGCGGACATCTTCACGTCGAGGATCATCTCTTCTTCCTTGGTCGTTACGCCTAGGCGATGGCCCTGTGAACTTGTTCGGAGGAGGAGCATCATCACGCCGCTGCCCCGAATCCATCTGCCTGGTGTCTCGACGATTGAACCTATCTGGTGCCCTCTCTTGGTTGACCACATGCGTGGTTATGGCCATGCCACCTCTGTTGGGACCATTGTTGTTGAATTCCCCTCGACCTTGTGGTCCACCTGGGGCCCTTCGCTTCTGATCTCCAAGGTAGGGATCCACTTCACGCGGTGCCATATTTCTGGTGTCGAGGGACCTCTTCAAGGTTGCCTGACGCTCAGCAGCCAGCCGCAGCTGCATCTCCATCTGCCGGTGCTGCTCCAGCTCTCGCTGCAGGTTCTCCCTCTCCTGCTGCAACTTCATCCGCTCCCACTCGATGCTCTGGCGCTCAAGCCGCTCTTGCTGCTGTGCCAGGCGCAGCTGCTCCCGCTGCCGGCGCAGCTGCTCTTCCTGCTGCCGCTGCTGTCGGCGGATCATCTCCCTCTCTCGCCGAAGGGAGTCCTGCCTCTCCCTCTCCCTGCGTCGCTCCATCTCACGCTGGTCTCGCTCCCGCTTGCGCTGTCTCTCGCGCATGCGCTGCTCCTTGATCTTGTCGAGGGACAGGATGTCTTTGCGGTCCTTGGAGTCTTGCTTGTCTCCATCAGCGGTGCTGGATCGGGAACTGTGGGGGCGTCCTTCGTCGTTATCGCCATCTTTCTTATCCGTGGCTTCGGTCTTGCCTTCAGGTTGTGAGCCACTGGCTGGTTTATCATCAGCTGAAAAGAAAAGAGAGACACAACCTCCCCAGATACAATCACTAATGTTAAACATCACAATTACCTGAATGCCAATAAAGCAGACTCTGGTCACAGTGACAACATATATAACTGTACTCCTCCATTTTGTCATCCATCATTTACTATGGACTTGGAGATAACCTTTCAGACGATGTCATCAAATTCATCTCCCAATTTCACTGATTATTTCTTTAAAAAATAAATTACTACCAAATGTGAAAACCTTCCATTAATTTAACAAGTACAAGGTCAGTAATCCAACCTGTCTCCTCTGATTCATCCGCTGCTGCCTCCTTATCCATGCCTTCATCCTTATTGGCATCCTCCTTCACAGGCTCCCCGTCTTTCTTGGCAGCAGGTGTCAGGGCTTTCTCCTCCTTGCTGTCCGGGGCAGCAGCAGCTGCTGTAGCAAGTGCCTTCTCGTCTTTCTTGGCTGCCTCTCCACTGCGCTTGGCCTCTGCAGTATCCACCTTCTCGGCCAGCTTCTTATCCTTGTCCTCTGGGGACGGTTCCTTCTTACGGCCCGACGCCCCTGACGTTGACGCAACTGGAATCATGTTGGAACGTGCCTAGCAGAGAAGCACAACGTGGACAAGTTGGTCAACTACCAACTCATCACTAAAGATCTTCCTTCAAACATACCTGTTACTCTAAACTTTGCATAATTGTAAAGCACATTTCAACAGTCATGTCAGAATTCACAGCAGAAGTCATACATCACATTTAATCATGCTTCTAAGTCAACACTCAATGACACTGTGTAACATTTCACTGTAATTTCTGGGATCTGAAATGGGGGAAACTACTGATGATTTCCTAAGGTCTGAAATCCTCATTCCGACACAAGACTCACTCTTTCAACATGGATGGTGCGTCCGTGGAGCTCAGTGCGGTGAAGATGGTTGATGGCCTTTGCTGCCTCTGAACTCGATGACATGGACACAAAACCGTAACAGAAGGCCCTGGGTCCCCTAGCGTTGGTCACTACTTTGGCACCGACAACCTACGGGAGGATGCAACATGTTCCAATTGTTTCAGAAATTAGAGGGCATGGCACCAGCGCTTGGACCTTCCTTGAAAGATGAGGATGATCAATGCAATGGCTTTCTATCAAATGACATCACTTTTTACAGACTGCCGAGTGTATTGGGATTTCAGACTTCAAATTTTCATGACACACATCAGCTATACTGTATTTCAAAGACATTTGGATCAACACATACATTCTGTACACATGTATAGAGCATTTCCACAGTGCACACACACATGAGGGCACTGAATAAGCAGTTGTTTGCTAACAAAGATGGTTCCAATGAGAGAGAGCTATACCATCCTGACAGCTCTTTACAGGAAACCAGGCACCTACCTTCCCATACTTGCTGAAGGAGGCCTTCAGGTCAGCCGCACGTGTGTTCCTGGACAGGTTGCTCACCCACAGATTACGGCCGGAGGTGGTTCCTGAGCCGCCGGAGCCTGGCCGAGATGACCCTGAGCCACGCCGATCTAACAAAAAATTCCAGAGCGGTCAAAGTGTGGAATGTGTGCAATCTAACAACTGCAAACAAAAATTTCAGGGCTGTTAAAGTTTGGAATGTGCCTGGACCCACGTCTGCAATATAAGAGGAAAACTGGAGGATGAACAGACTACAAAACATTCAACAATGGCAATAAATTGACTATTCAGAATTATTAACACAGAATGCATGAAAAAGCTAAACCTGAATGAAGAATCTTCTAAAATCAAGAACAGGAATGGTGCAAAATCAAGAAATAGCCCCCCCAAAAAAGAAACATCAATCCCAAGCTTAATTTTAACTTTAGGTTTAGAACCATTGAGAGATTTGTGGAGCAATGATAGAAGTATCCATTACTCAGTGCGTCTCCACAACCTCTGCAAATGAAATGCTTCTGACTTGAGGCATGTCCTGCAACCAAAATTGACATCACTGATTGCATAAACAGGAGCACATTTCTCAGTTGAAATAGTACCAACCTTTTTCATCTTTGGAAGATGGGGATCGCCCAGAAGAACTGGAGCTGTGGAAAGAATTTCAAGAGAAAGTATTAGAGAAGAGGAAATGGTAACAACAGCTAATTGCAAATCACTGGATGAGGGCAATTACATTTCAAACCTACCTGTGGGTAAACGACACAGACATGTCACGCAGATATCCAACTTTTTTCCCAAGAAATGTTTGCCACTAATAAACAACGCCATAAATAAAAAATGTGAAGATGTTACTATCAGCCAACACAGAAAGCTGTGCTACAATTGGACAATAAAGATAATAACTTCAACCACTACTACAAATGCCATTCTAAGTGTTAGTACTGCCAGAAAAAGCACTATATGATCTGGAGAAAAAAAATTCAGTACGGTTTCTATTTTCATATTTTCAAGTGTGGAATTGTTGATTTTTTTTCTTTTGTGAAATCACTATGGTACTTCACGTAGAAGAGCGCATTTCTCAAACTCTGCAAGGGGCAACACTACCAAGAAAGAGGCACTCCAAGAAACAGAAGTCACTGCGCTTAAGGTCCAAGTTCCCCCGACAAAAATCGTTTTGAATGTACATGTGAGAGACCAGAAGAGCTATCACCTGCTTAGACTCTCTGATGGGAACCTTCACAAGATGAGAACATCACCTGAGCCATACATGAAGACGCGTCCATTGTGCATATTCGAGACTTATGATGTTCATACATGAGCTGGCTGGTTTTTTTTGTATTTTACATGGAGACTATACACTGAAAAAAATGAACTTTTTCATGAAATCAAAACTTTAGGCTACAGGCTTTAAGAAGTCTCGTGAGCATCAACAGAGCATGTATATGCAATTTGATTTTCCATCGGCAGCATAAAAATGCAGCAAATTCGCATGTGAATGGTAACAGGCAGACTTCAGCTCCATCCATCAGTTACACGTAAAGTCCAGCAGCAATAATATTTTAGCCTTCTTGTTTTGACCTCAGGTGCACACGATTGATCAAGAGCTAGGCGGACAGCAGTCAGCTTCAAGGTTCCATCTTGGCCGATCTTCTCTCCTCCCTAAAGCCTAATGGAAGACAGACTGATCCTCATCCCAAATGCTCTAACCAGTCACCCGCACAGGCCCAAACGACGGAAGTGCTATTAGTTTCCTCGTGACCGTTATAACTAAATCTGGGTAGATACATCACTGATGGAATGATGAAGTGATAAATGGTTTTGACCACGTTGCTTGGTGGAAAACTCTTAATGATCAATTGCAAATCTCCAAGGATTGGCAGTAAAAAAAAAAGAATACAAAATCAAAGTGGATTTCCAAGCATTTAGAAAGACGATCAACCAGGTACTCTAGCTAGTATCAGTAAACGATAGCAAGAATCAGCATGACCAACAAACCTTTTGCTGCGTGAGTTTGCAGCTCCAGCTGAGGTGGGGGCTCTCTTGTCCGCACCTGATTCCTTGCCTGCAGCGGCAGCCTTAGAAGGGGTGACCTTCTCCTCACCCTTCTCATCTTTTTTGGCGTCGCCCGCCGGGCTTTTATCGGTCTTTTCCGGTGGCTCAGACTCCCCCTTCTCCTTCTGCCCCTCCCCCTTGGCTTCTGCCAACTTATTGTCATCAGCGTGGGCGGCGGCCTCGGTATCTTCTGACTTCTTGGGCATGGCAGTTTCAGCCAGCTCTTCGTCTAGCTCCGACATGAAAGGCTCATCAACATGGACTACTAAGGACTCGCTACCCTCCCCCTTGGTATCTAAAGATGTATCCAGTGGGAAAGAATCCTCCTTGTCTTGTTCCTTGGCATCTTCTGCTTCTTGGGATGAGGAATCTTCGGCTTCCATTTTATCCTCCTGATTGCTACTTGCTGAAAGGGGTTAGGCAACAATTGTAAGCACATTTGTTCAAAGCAACAACAGGTTTTTGGAGGGCTCGATTCTGAGCTTCCATCTGCTAATGAAGACTGGAATAGTCGCCAAAGTGGAGATGAAGCACATCCTTCAAAGAAAACTCAGCAGATGTTATGGCTTAAAGCATTCAAATTTTTGAGGATATTCTTTAAGTAATTTTGAGAACTCAATGGATGTTTCCTTATCTGTATTTGGGTATTGAAAGGCTTGTTTCTGGCTACTAAACCTTTGTTGTACTTGACACGCCCACTTTTGACTTCCGAGGCAATGGCTGTTAAGCAATCAGCAAATGTGGTGTTGAGCTCTGGCAGATTTGATGCCATCTTAGAAGAAAAACCTGCTCAATTTGGCTGGGATTTGATGACTCGTCATCTAGAAATAGCTGACTGGATCACAACTATCTGTGCTTTCGTGTGGTGGAGTGATGGCATGACAGACGGCACAATCAACTATCCTACTGCCTTCAGCTACTGGTTCTTGCCGAAAGCAGTTCCCCATGTAAGTACGACCTCGTAGATGAAGAGCTTGAAGTACCACATGCTCTGTGGATGGAGACTGATGTGCTGAGAGGTGAATACAGATGATTGTCAGCAACAGTTCTGGTGTTGTGATCCAGGTTGGTACTGGTGTTGCAGACTGTTGTTGACAGCACTCAGACATGTGTACACGGACGGAAGGTAGCCCCCATCCGTAAAGTACACAATGTCACTCCTCGTCTTCAAAGGGCTGTTTCACAGCTTTGACCGTTGATCGTTTTCTTGTTTCCCCAGCAAGCCTTTGCTAACTCTTGATGACATAAACTCTTAGAATGTCGATCGGTGCTGTGAATTCTGACATAAGGCAATTTTTGAGGGTTGGTCCCGGGGTGAGCTGTGTTGTTACATCAAATGAGTCTCACTTTAACGACGTTCCAACTGTCGAAATCTTTTGGCATCCACTCACTTTCTTTATATGCTAGTCTTTCCAGCATAAAAGCAATTATAGCACAAGCCATTTCCCTCTCGTGGGGTGACCAGCAAAATAAAGTTTCAAAGTGAACGTCTTTCGTGAATTTTTTTCAAGTCCTCATTAACCCATCTTCAAAAAATCGTTGGACATGCTGGAAAGACTATAATATGTACCAATCAGAAACAAGCCCTTCTGCCAAGTGATTTATGTAAGAGATTTCATTTTTGTCTGAAATTTTGTCTGTGTGTGATTTTTCCAACGTCTATATACCTTACATACAAAAATATTCCTACTATTGTAGACTCGTTTTACCTTTTTCGCCTTCAAGTGCAAAGCCATCATTTTCCTGCAGAAAATAAGGTCAAGGAAAAAAATACATCAAGATGCTTTCCACAATAGAAAGTTTCACCCTGAACACATTTCCTAGATATTGAATCAGGGGTGCAAGTGGAATATAAAAACATAGCTGGAAATGGCTTTCGAGAAAATGCTAAACATTTACTTAGAAAACAGGGTGTTTTTTTCAGAAAAGTCTCATAGGTTTGTGCACAGAGGCATGAAGTGTTGACCTTATCTAAAACTCTTTCCAAATGAACTAGAAATAGGTATACCAACATTGTAAATATTGAGGTTTGTGGAGTGAGTTGGCCTTTTTCCCACCTGATCTCAGCATGTTTTCATAATTTCAGTTCTTGAAATAATGCACATCACGTGCGTACATCACATGTAAAGGTGATTGGAGTTTTCTGGGCGCAGACCATATTGCCTGCTCATCACATCTACGGTCAATTTCTGCAGATTTATAACTTGAGGATCAGTCTAATTACTTTTAAAATCATGCATGCGGCAAGCTCGCGGCATGGATCGGAAACCGGCCCTGCACAGCCCCAAACGAAATGTTTGAGAAAACAAATTCACCCCCAGTTTCTTGCTCTAGTGTCCAGCAGCACAAGGCCCACGGATCATGGGGAAACAAGGTTGCTGCATTTTGGTGGGATTATATAGCACGTGTAGTACAAAGTGGTACGAGTGCACACATGTACATTCAATACGAGATAAGTGGCACCATGAACTACACGTTGGTACATACACCCCAAGCGCGATACCAGCTTTGCAAAATGATTAGCAAATTTGCTAATCAATTTTATTTTCTTATTTCCATCACTGCTATAACAGGCAATGACAAACAAATGCACATGTATTACAGAGCTGAGCTGATAACAACAGATTCCCGGATTACAGATCAATTTAGTACAGAATTCATGACAAGACATTTCAGACCATGTCACTTTCAAGCCATTCAAACGCGAGACAGACTTGCCACAAACCCATTCAAAATAAATGGCTTAACTGAATTGAGTACAAAATACAACTTGAGGCCAAAGCAAAGAATATGATTGTTCCCTACCTCTTCTGTGAAGAGCTGGTCTTCCTCTAGGCTGATATTCAAGACGTCGTCGTCGTCATCCTCGTGACCTCCTAGGATGATGTCCAAGTCAATATCTTCAGCCTAGACACAAGATTGTGAGGAAAGATTGAAAATAAACAATTAGTTCCCAAGCAGTAAAGCCGATTCTCCATGATCAACAGAGAAATAACATTCAAAGTCCTGGCAAACGGTACAATGAACTTGACTTCTATGGCTGCAATTTCGCACCAACAGACTCAGTTGCCTCTTAGTTGACCCAAGGTCAAACTCACAGAACAGCTGAGCACATAACTCTGCTAAGCACAAAAATATACACTACGAAAAAACAGGTAAGAAGTCTGAGTGACAGCGTGTATTACTTGAGACTGGTCCTCCACTCACTTCGGCTTAGTGCCGCAATCTCCAAGCACTGCTTTCTGCTTAACAGCTTCAAGAAAACAGGCCCAATCAGTACTTGCCAACATCACGCTGCTGCATTACAGCAAGCACTTGGTATTCCAAACAGGAATGAAAGCATGCCTTGGTCCTTGTTTGAAGCCGGTTTTATTTGGTACACTTCACACTCAGACCGGACAAGCAAATTCATTTATGCTATTTTACCACAGCATGGAAGGCAGGAAGGTCCATGACTGGTCTTGCGTCAAACATTCGACAGAATTCCAGGGTTCGATTCAACTCTTATTAATTTCCATTCCTTTGAAATGTGCCACTTACTTTACTGGTCTCTCCTTCCTGGCTAGTCTCCATTTCCTCGGTCACTTCATCCACCACCATTCCATCTCCTCCCAGGCCTTCCATGCCCTCCTCAACCTCGTCATCAGACTCTCCTTCATCTTCCTGTAATTGTGCACATAATGGGAAGGAGAAAAGCATCAGCTTCTGGTCGAGTGATAGATTGTCCTCCTCAACTTACACAGCTGATATTCAGACAGAAACCAAAACCAAGAGCAAACATTCATATGGTAAAAGGTAACATAAGTTTGACGAGAGAGAGCTTTTCTTTGTGTACATATAAGTTTTGAGTTTGGACATTCTTCCACGCTTCAGTTTTCAGTTTGAAAAACTGAAACCATAATTATGCTACATGAATATTGGATTAATGCGAGAAAATGTGCTCGTCAAGGCATTTTAAATCCAAGAAAAAGGACAACTCTGAAAAAGTGCGACAGACTAGTAGGATTTCCACTTCCAGTCACTATTGTTAGCAAATACTGAAAAATTTTGGCAATGATCATGGGTTTTGCAAAAAAAATTTTTAATGGGCAATGCTTAAAGAAGCAAGTGGCTTTGTGTTGATTTCTTTGAAATTTACAACATAAATATTTGACAAGAACAGCTCACTTACCCCCGACTTTCCTTTTGATGCTCTCTTTCCTGTAAATAAAGAGAAATATATTATATATTTGTCAGCAATTAGCAGAGGGAAAAATTCAATAACATACAGGGGAACTACACATTTTGCGTCCATCATAATGAAATGTTTGAAGCCTCCAATAAAGCAATGAGCATGGAAGACAATGGGTTTGGATAACAGTGAAGCTTAACAAGTACCTGTTCTTGCAACAGAACCTAAATTAAAAAAAGGAATATGACATACTTGTTGGAGGTTTCTTGGCAGCAGCAGCCTTTGGGGTGACTGAGGTTTCAATGACTATTTCGTTGGGATCCTCTCCATTCTCGATCAGAGCCTGTGAAGACAATTTGATAAGGGAATGGGATTTTCTTACTTCAGAAAGCTGCTTGAGTAAAGGCAAACACAGCTGTGTTTTGCGGAAGAGCCCCGACAGTTTAAGTTGTCTGTATGCCATTTTGACAACACTAATTCTGCGTGCGCCGCTAGAGGGCTATTTTCGAACAATCGATCACTTTATCAATGTATCGGACGGAGCTGCATGATGCTCTTGGCTGTGCTACACGAAAGGCGTAACAATGTTTTGATTGGTACTAATTTGATGTAATCAAATCCAAAGTACACACCGCGCATGTGCCATTTACATGAACAGCTGCATTCCGTACCGCCCCAGCACACTGTATTGCACATGTACACGTACAAGCGCGCTATAGTGAGACACCATGCATGTCGCCGTGCTTTTTTGCAGAGCGACATCGAGCGAGTGCTCAGTCGAGTGGAAGGCTTGCCATCAAGCAACGAGGAGGAAGTAACGGCATGAGTGAGTGGCATGATACGGCTACACAGTTGCCCTTACAACGTATTTGACGTCCTACAGTAAAAAAGGTAGCATTTTTTAAGTATTGAGGGTCAACATGAATGCATTTTTTACGCGAAGTTATTTTCGTATTCTCTATTTTCATTGCATAAACTATGCCAATACGCACGCTAAAAGAAGCCCTGAGCCATTCAACCAATTTGTCGGGGCTTGTACACTAAAGTACAAAGATCTAGGGGCCTATCTACCAATGGGGCAGTGCGAACATCTGGGATTCTTGCAAAATGGCAGGTACTG